GGTGATCAGACTCAGTCCATTAGTTCACCAAGAGCTTCCAAATGATGCTTTCCTAAATCTGTCATTGTTTTTGCGTTTAGGAGCTGGAATTATTTTATAAAGAAGAACTTTCTGTCGTTGACTGTTTTGTTTCCCTGAAATATCATTTATGTAGAAAAGGCAGGATAAGTGCTTGACTCTTGCTTTTATTTACCAGTTTTCATACAGGGCCCCCTAATTTCCTCCAAAGGTGACCAAAAATGATGTATCATTTTCCTTTGAGTATCATGATGAACTCATGGATCTTAACATATATGACATGTTTCAAATGTTTTAATTCACTTTTGTCCTTATTCTTTTGGTGATTAGTGTCACACCTTGGCCAATGGGCCCCCTTTCAGGTTGACTCCAGAGTCTTTCTGACCTGACCCTAATATTCTTTAAAGATGTTCAAGGTTCATTTTGTACATTTCCTACCCCAGATCTAGAAACAGCCATTTCTTTCAGGTACACTGGTTCTTTGCATTAAAAAATGGTGTGCAGGGGTGCCTGGGTGGCTCAGTCATTAAGCGTCTGCCTCCGGCTCAGGTCATGATCCCAGTGTCCTGGGATTGAGCCCTGCATCGGGCTCCCTGCTCCGCGGGAAGCCTGCTTCTCCCTCTCCCACTCCCCCTGCTTGTGTTCCCTCTCTCGCTGTGTCTCTGTCTGTCAAATAAATAAATAAAATCTTAAAAAAAGAAAATGGTGTGCATACGCCTTTGAGGCGGTGGAGTATTGCAGTAATACTGCTGTTTTCCATTTGATGGAATTAATATGTTTCTATTAATTTTCCATCATTCTCTTCTTTATTTCTCTTTAGCCTGTAGTGTTGATCCCCTAGTGGAGAAGTGCAGGGTACACCTATTCTGCACTGTGTGGGAATGTGGGCAAGGTCCTGGGACTTCTGCTTTGTTAATTTGTGAGCCCTGTAGGGCAGAGCTCTGAGTCAGAACCAAGGCCGGTGCTTCGGGGGAGGCTGGCATGGTATAAATCCCAGGGATCACATGGGACCCTGATAATGCATCTAGTCACCGCTGTGCTTCCCAGCCAGAGCTCATCAAAGATAGAGGAAGCCTTGCCTGACTTTCTAATTTTTAAAACTCTCCAGAGTTAGAGTCCATATTGAATCATTTAGCAGTGTGCTACATTGAATCACAAAACTACTCTAGAGGCATTTAAGAGAAACCTAAATTGAGTAAAACTTAGCAAGAAGCATGAGAATTGATTTTAGGACCTGAGCTGTTTGTGTGTGTGTGTGTGTGTGTGTGTGTGTGTGAAGCCATAGCTTAACAACAAAACTGCAGATGAATTACAAGAGCTTTTGGCACACTGACAGGCACTTTCTCCTTGACCTCTGAGCTGTGCCAGGACGGGAGGAAAAGGGAGATACGCAAACTCACATTGCAGCCTAAGGGGCTTGAGGAGTTGGATATGTCTAGTTACTTGGAATTGGTTTTGTTTATTTCTTTGATGCTGGTATATACTTAAATTAAAAAACTTTTTTTGCTGACATTTTTTTAATTCCACAAAAGCCAAAATATCAAACCTATAAGAACAAGAAAAGGTGACACCTTAGGTGATGATATTTAATTAAGGGATTATGCATTCTTCCTGGGTTCCAGCCTATAAAAATTTCATGTTTCAGTGGGTATAATGTTTCTGTTACAAACACCGTACTGCCTAAAAAGGCCTAGCCAAGGAAGACGTTTTTTAAAACAAATACCTAATGCCAAAGTACTAAATATAGAGTAAAATCCAGTGACAGTTTTATTTTCGGACAAAGTGATAGAATCTAAGAGGCTTAGTTATGAGTGTCCAGTAGTTTTCAAATTACATCGTTCCTCTAAGTAATGCCTGGATTCACACCTGTCTGTGCACACCTGTGTATGTACTTCTACCCTTCCCTGCATGACAGGAGTCCTTAATCTAGCCAGGTTCCCAAAGTGCAGAGAAAAATTGTGTTATCTTCAGGTTCTTCTGGGTCCAGCATTTTTAAGGACACTTATCTTTGTGGTATTAAAATGCCAGAACCAGGGCGCCTGGGTGGCTCAGTTGGTTAAGCATCTGCCTTCGGCTCAGGTCGTGATGGCAGGGTCCTGGGATCGAGCCCCACATCGGGCTCCCTGCTCCGCGGGAAGCCTGCTTCTCCCTCTCCCACTCCCCCTGCTTGTGTTCCCCCTCTGGCTGTGTCTCTCTCTGTTAAATAAATAAATAAAATCTTTAAAAAAATAAAATAAATGAGAGTAAGCGAATAATTGAGTCTAAAAGCAAGTTGCACTGAAGTGAAAAGAGAAGGATAAGATTAATTTATTACATTGATTAGTTTGTATAGTTTACAAAGTAAGCACATGTCCTACTTCACAAGGGATACACCTGGCTGCCAGATTTGTAGGTCAGACAGGTATTGGAATCCCACTTTAAAGATTCTGAAACTGAGTTCAGAGGGGTTAAGTGACTCCTGGCAGCAATATTAGAATGCAAATCTGTGATTAAAAGCCAATTTAAGGGGGTGCCAGGGTGGCTCAGTTGTTAAGCGTCTGCCTTCGGCTCAGGTCATGATCCCAGGGTCCTGGGACTGAGCCCCACATCGGGCTCCCTGCTC